CCAGTAAAGGTTCTCTAATTGCTCAAGCTGATGTGCCAGAAGTAGAAAAATTTTACATATATGTGTTTAAAAAGGATAACTGGGATTATTTAGAAAATAATAATGAATTTCTAATGAAAATCAGATGACCTTCTGAAATATTGGCCTACCTTTTGGAGATACTTTTTTTTCTCCTCAGATTCCTGAATCTTTATGGTTTCAGCAGTGATATCAGTAGTCTCTAAAGGAAATAAAGTCAAATTCAATCTAAAATAATTTTATCATGATTTTATAATAATGTTGATATAAACTTGGATAAATGTTAAAAAGTAACAGAATAGGAAGGTAAACACAAATATGTACTGTCCTGAAACTTTACAAACCGATTCATAAATAATTGGAGACTGAATTAATTAGCTATGGCCGAAGGGAGCCTTTAATCTCTTTAGAAGAGGAGTAAGCCTGAGTCCAGTGACAAGAAAAGGTCTCTGAAGAGAACATCTTTGCAGTAAAAGAGTTTCCAATTTTTGCATTTCTATTCAACGTGTTAGGGGAATTTAGACATTCTCCTCTGGATAAGTAGGATGGTCTCTGAGACAGGGTTTTGATATGCAATTCAGAAAGTTATGCCAAAGTGTAAAGATGTCTCCTTATACTTATTACCTATTTTCTGAAGGATCTAGGAATCAGGATGTTGAAATGCCTAAGACTTGGTACTTACTGTTTTTCTCAAGGCTAAAAGGTTGGAAGTAAATTTTCTCTAAAAAATACAAAAGGGGGGGCACCTGGGTGGCTCAGTTGTTAAGCATCTGCCTTCGGCTCAGGTCATGATCCCAGGGTCCTGGGATCGAGCCCCGCATCGGGCTCCCTGCTCCGCGGGAAGCCTGCTTCTCCCACTCCCACTCCCCCTGCTTGTGTTCCCTCTCTCCCTGTGTCTCTCTCTGTCAAATAAATAAATAAAATCTTAAAAAAAAAAATACAAAAGGGAAGTGAAGAAATTATTGGAAAGACCATAGCATTAAAGATATTTAAGCTTTCTAAAAAAAGGTGGGGTATTTAAGCTTTCTATACCTATAAAAATTGCGTAATAACAGTTTCCATCTCTTTGGCTTACTAAGGTTTTACAGGTCTCGGACTTGGTTCCTAATATTGATTCTGCTTTCAACTTTCTCTGAGGCTTTCATGTTTGAACTTGATTATGTAAACAACCACCCTTAACATCCTTTCAGTCAACATATAATATTTCCCCCAGATTATTCTATACTGTTTAGCCAAACAGATGCCATAACCTAAGGGATACTTTCAGATGTGGTTTTAGATGTAACGAATATAGCACTGATGCTTTCCGCGTGGAAGGACTGCTGAGAAGTTAAAAAAAAAAACTGTATAGGTTTTCAGACATTTGAAATGAAAGATTCTTATTTTAGAAATAGGTTCGGCGGTTACTTGTGACAGTGGCCCCGCTGGTTGGTTACTGATGACGGAGGCAGAAACCAGTGGCCCAAGGCTGCTACTCACCAGGCGGACTGCGCCTAGAGGGCCGGGCCACCGGCAGGCGCTGACTGCTACCTCGGGACAGCACCAACTGAGATTCGTTAGTAGGGTACATCGACGCCGCGATCCAGAACTGCTTGGCCAAGTTCGAGTCCTGTTCCGAAGTTCCGGTGAACACCAGTAATCCCTGGGGGCAAATTTCAACGGACTCCTTGTGGCTGGGAAGCCTTCCGCCGGCCCTCGTTTCCATGGCAACTCAGGACGCTTCTCTGAGTTCGCTCGCTCTTCTCCCAGCCCCGCCCTGCGGAGAACCGTCAAGCTGGCAACCACCACCGCCAGAAGCCCTTTGATTCCTGAATAGATGCTGGGGTCCAGCGCGTGCCTGTGGATGATCTGAAGCCCACTTCTGCGGTATCACAGGCTTCAGGACCAGTCCAAGCCTTGGCGACCAGATAGGAGGAGTCAAAAACATCAGGTTTGGGGTGGTTCGTGTCCTGTTGGGAGTCAGTAGGGCAGCACTTGAGTTCTCTCACCACCTCAGTCAGCCTTCAAACCCCCCTCCCCCCAGTTTCCTTCCCCCCAAATATACCTATATATCTAAATAAAGCTTTTCAACTCTTAGCCCTACCACCCCAACCCACCTCTCCTTCCACACCAGATTGCCCACCTTATGTGGATAGTGGTTGGAGAATTCAATAGGGCAGCTAACATCCTAGCCCATGGGAGCCAGAGCGCTGAACGGGGCTGAGAAGTACCTGTGTATAAAGTTCTTGTTGTATATTCCCCTCTGCCCCATCCTTTAAGGGAAATCTCATGGAAGAAACTGGATTTAGATTGTGCTTTACAAATCAGTCCCACTAAAAGCTGCCTGCACTGCAACAGTCCTAAATGATCACTTAAAAGAAGGACTGTATCTGATGTGTGGACTCAGTCCCTTCCCGAAAAATAAATTATGAAAAATGTTAATGTATTTTTACAAAAATATTAATAAGTGTGAATAAATAACTTTCCTGGGAGATTTCATTAATCTAGGAACAATCTAACCATTTCAGCCATAGCAAAGTTGTAATTAGTGTGGCAGGAATTAAGGTGGACATCATAAAGCCAACTTAGGAAAGGTAATAACCACAACTTATGACCTTATGGCACTTTATTCTTTCAAAATACTAATACAGTCTCACAGTTCAAAAGTTGATAATCACAAGTCTATACAATGACATAGATCAGTGAAGGAAAAAATCCTATTGTATATCTAAAATTTTTTTGGTTAAGAGCCTGAAGGAAATTGATAAATTATAAAGACATGAATTTTACATTGTATATTTAGCTGCTAAAATACTGATTTTTCTCTTGGATAAGCTATTAATAGGCAATGGGTAATACTGGAGCATTTCCAAACCCCACCTTCCCCCAAACACACCAATGTGCACAGACAGCTCATTTGGATGATTCCCAAATCTTTTTACCTGGCCGTGTAGTTAGTGATTGGTACTATTAGCAATCAGCTAACTACACTGCCTAGTAACTAGACTCACAGGAAAAAAAGGTTTACTTCCATCATGCACTGCAGTCCCAAGTTGTGATAGACAAATCATATTGGTTCATCGGTTCAATTGTAGCTCCCTTTAGTTTGTGGGTTGGTGAATACCTTACTAAATAATGAACGAGAGGCAGAATGAATCACAGTATACAGAATTAAACGTTACATGGGGGGGGGGGGCTCCTCCCCGAAGTCTAAATGTCATTACAGCTCACAATTAAAGCCATTAAACTTTACACACGTCGCTCCCCTTGCAGGCTCTCCTTGCAGGCGGATTGCCCAATCTTGCTTTTACTCCTCGGGGTAGCTAACAGTTTAACTGCGTCTAGCCGCAGCCGTCCGGCTAGTTTGCTGGAGTGTCCTCGCAGGTGGACAGCGTGCTGGGCGGCCAGCGCTGTGCCCAGCAAATGCTGACGCATCAAATCTCGAAGCGCAGCTTTCTCCCAACGCTCGGGGTTGGCCGTTTGCCGCCGAGGGTGGCGTCCTCCTGCCCGCGGGGCGGCGGGTGATGCTGTGCCTTGTTTTGATGGCAGTGGAGTTAGTGATTGTAAGCACCAGAGTACAATCAGCTAATTACACTGCCTACAAACCGAGCACCGGGCGCCCGCGGGCTGCAGCTCCCGGACGGCCGGTGGCGCCAACGCCGTGGCCCCGAGCCGGCGGGCCTCGGGGTCCAGGCCGCGTCTCCCCCCCGGGCTGTGCCCGACGGTGCCTGGGCGCGAGGACCTGGGCGCGGGGCCCCGGACGACGCCCCGGACCCAGCCGACACCCTCGCCCGGCCCGCGGGCTGCGCTGGCCCCTGCCGGACCCCCGCGCACACTTGGCGTGGCAGGGCCAGCGGGCAGCGCTCGGAGGGGACCTGCACCCCTCGGGCCGCGCCCCCAGCCCCCAACTCCCGGTGTTCCCGGGTTCATCCCAGCCGCCGCCGTCCCCGCGCCCGTCTCGGTGCCTCCCAGGGCCTTCCCCCGCAGGTTCCCTTCCCGGGTCCTCCCCTCTACGCTTCCTCGGGTCCTGCTCCCACCTTCTCACTCCCCCGTCCGCTCCGCCCCAGAAAACTTCTCTTCAGTCCCCAGCCCAAACCCTAGAGCCGGCTCTCTCAACCCCGTGCGCCCCGCAGCTCCGAGTGGCCGAGTGACCGTGGCCGTGGCTGACCAACCGCCCTTGGAACCCGGTGGTGGAGGGGCGGGGCACGCGCGAGGTGGGGTGGGGTGGAGGAGGGGCGGGGTAGGGGAGGGGAGGAAGCCGCGAGCTGGGGCCGAAGGCGGGTCCCTGCAGGGAAGAGGCCCTGGGGACTGAGGCCCAGATTCCTGAGAAGTTTCTCTTCCTGATAGGGCAGGAGGGACAAGGAGCTCCTTCTCCCCTACCCCTCCCCAAGAAGCCCCACACGCCCACCCAGTTTTCATTACCATCTTTGTCAGGGAAAACAGCCTGGCCTGGTACCAAATTGTAGGCTCTAATTTTCCAAAGGGAGATAGGCCTCGGTGGCCTCAGGCATGTGGGACAACTGCCTTGGAGAGTCCCATCTGTACTCTTGCCTTCCCCTTGGGTTTCTCTTACACTCTTGGAGGGCCATGCAATGAGGTGGAAGGTTGGCTCTTTTCATCAAATAGTGAGTGGGCTCAAGAGTTAGATCAAAGCTTGGTCCTCACATACTTAAATACCTGCTATATGTTCAGCACCTAAGGTCATTCATTCTACCCTCCATATGTATAATCTAGGTGGTAACACAATGTGAACACACATTATCTACCACTCAATACAGTATATAATAAATTGTTAAACTGGGGAGATATATAAGAGGGTGGGGTCGGGCATCAATGAGGACTGTAATTGTCAGGGAAGGCACAGGGAAGAGCCAGGTTCCAATTGGTCCTCCAAGCAAGACTAAATTGGGATATTCAGGGTGAGGGGTGGGGAGGCCAGAGAAACAATGTCTTGTGACCAGTTACATTTTCTTCTCACAATTCCACATCTGATGATGTAGATGTATTTATGTGTGTATTCGGACTAGATTGAACAAAAGAGGACAGTTAGAGAATTTCTGGGAGACCTCTACTAATACTTCATTCCTTGAGTTACTCTTTTCCCTCTTTTCCTTCAATGAATGCATCAGGAAAGGATAAAGAATATTCTAATTCTACACTTTGTGGAACTCAGTTGGAAGTAGCCCTTCAGTATGGTCTTCATGCATCCAGTATAGAGCACTCATTGTTGACCCCAAAAGCTTAGTTCTAGATTATTTTCCCCAGAAGAAAACTTCCCAGCTAGAGATTGATTCCCTAAACCCAGGAAATGGTTCCCTACATGCCACTAGTAGCGTGAATTAGGGGCCAGTCATCTAGATCATTCAAAACAAATTCCAGGCTCACACTATTAAACCACCAGAAGAACTTCCCAAGGATGAGTTTGAGTTACAGCATTGTCTTTCACTATGAAAGACAGCACATTCTTTTGCCACATGCATCATGTGTCCTGAGAACACCAAAGTGAAGAGTAAGAAATCAAAGTATAAAATGTACAGTACAGAAAACATTAATTCTCAAGATTAACTTGTAAAGTCAAATTGCAAAAGATGTGTCATTTATAACTATTTTTTTGTCTTCATCTTATCTTTGGGAGAAGCACAATGTTGTAGAACACCTCACACTTCTTTAACACGTACTGTACCCCAAGCAGTAGCAGGCAATATGCCAGAATCAGAGCTAGGTGAGCTGCGAGTTCTCTAGAGGTAACTGTACAACCAAATTTGTATCTTATAGCTAATTAGACATACATACGTAAATGCAGGAGTGAAATAGCTTCCATTCCATTAGCAATATGCAGACTTACAAGTTTGGGTTAGGACATAATTATAAAAACAATTCTGTTTTTTTTCAAATTGTTAGTCACTTTACCCAATACAATATTAAATACCTCTTCCTGATTGACATTTTATGATTATTAGTTGCATTTTACATTTCTTACCCGAGCTGGATTGCTGCCCTCCAAGGTAGTGGTTGCAGTAGATGCCTTGAATTTTATATTTTTAGAGCTTTTCTTCAAAGGTAATTTAAAAAATAAAGAAAACATATGTAAAAGCCATCAAGATGCATTGCCTCCAGAAATCGATTTTTTAAAATACAGTCTATTCTGCGGGTAGTGCAACTAAAAAAAGTAAAATAACGAGAAAAAAAATTTGTGTGGCCTTGTCCTGTGTGTGTGTGATTGTGTATGTGTGTGTGTTGTTGTTTTTTTTTTTAAAGAATGCTTGTTCTTAGGGTTGCTGTTGATTTGGCCTGTAGTTACTAGAGAAACTCCAAGGAACTCATTCCCTTTATGGTTCATGTCTAGGCATGCCTGGAGACCAGGGAGACCCATGATTTAATCTAAGTAAGAATGCTTGTGGTGTTTTAAATGACCAAACAGAAGATTGCATTTGTTTTAGACAAAACCAGGAAGGTACCTTTCAGAGAGATTGTTTACTGTTTTATTGAATTTCTGGGCTTTTGGTGATTCGGGTGATGGGGAAGGAGTGCTAAGGAGAGAAGATGAGGTTGGTGATTAGGAACAAACCCAGAAGAGTACAGAACACATATATCTTCTGCTTTAGCTTTGGAGAATTTGTATTAGTTAAATTTACCACTCCTCAATAAAAGACTAGAGCAATGGGGATTGGGAATTACAAAAGATGGAGACAAACTTACTCTCTTCTTTTAACACACACAGACACACCATCTGAACATTTTCTATCTTCCATAGCTTTTGGAGGATGTTGTTCGAGAGGAAGAAG